AAGATCAAAACACACACTCAGAAGACAACAAAGTCAAAGTTCCTATCCAAAGCCTCCAAGAAAAATATAAATTGGTCTCAGGCCATGGAAAAGCTCAAAAAGGATTTTGAAAATCAAATAAGAGAGGCAGAAGAAAACTTGGGAAGAGAAATGAGAGTAATGCAAGAAAATCATGAAAAATGAGTCAACTGCTTGCTGAAGGAGACTAAAAAAATAAATACTGAAGAAAATAACACTTAAAAGACAGACCAGACCAAATGATAAAAGAGGTACAAAAAGCCAAGAAGAATACCTTAAAAAGCAGAATTGATCAAATGGAAGAAGAAATACAAAAACTCACTGAAGATAATAATTCCTTAAAAATTAGAATTGAGCAAATGGAGGCTAATGACTTCATGAGAAATCAAGAAACAATAAAACAACACCAAAAGAATGAAAAAAATAGACAATGTGAACTATCTCATTTGAAAATCAACTGACCTGGAAAATAGATCCAAGAGAGATAATTCAAAAATTATTGGACCACCTGAAATCAACAATCAAAAAAAGAGCCCGGACATCATCTTTCAAGAAATTATTAAGGACAACTCTCCTGAGATTCTAGAACCAAGAGGGTAAAATGGAAATTGAAAGAATCTATCAATCACCTCCTGAAAGAGATCCCAGAATGAAAAAAATTCCAGGAATATTGTAGCCAAATTCCAGAGCTCTCAGGTCAAGGCAAAAATACTGCAAGCAACCAGAAAGAAATAATTCAAGTATGGTAGAGCCACAGTCAGGCTAACACAAGATTTAGCAGCTTCTATATTAAAGAATCAGAGTGCTTGGAATATAATATTCTGGAAGGCAAAGGAGCTAGGATTACAGCTAAGAATCAACTACCCAACAAAACTGAGTATAATCCTTCAGGGGAAAAATAGACATTCAGTGAGACAGAAGACTTTCAAGCATTCTTGATGAAAATACCAGAGATGAATAGAGATTTTGATTTTCAAATATAAGACTCAAGATAAGCATAAAATGATAAACTGGAAAGGGAAAACTTAAGGGACTTAATAAGGTTAACCTGTTTACATTCCTTCATGGGAAGATAATATTTGTAACTCATAAGACCTTTCTCATTATTAGGGTAGTTAGGAGTATATATAGTCAGAGGGCACAGGTGTGAGTTGAATATGAAGGACTGATATCTAAAAAAATAAAATTAAGGGGTGAAAGAAGAACATACTGGGAGAAAGGGAAAGGGAGAGGTAGAAAGGAGTAAATTATCTCACATAAAAGAGGCAAGAAAAAACTTTTACCACAGTGGAAGGAAAGAGGTGGGAGGTGAGGGGAAGTAAGTGAACCTTACTTTCATCAGAATTGGATCAAAGAGGGAACAACAACTCAATGGGGTATATACATTTTTTTTACCCTACAGGAAAGTAGGAGAGGAAAGGGATAAGAGAGTGGGGTGTTGATAGAAGGGAGGGCAGATTGGGGTTGGGGTAGTCAGAAGCAAAACACTTTTGAAGAGGGACAGGGTGAAGTAGAGTATAGAGTAAACAGAAGGGGAATAGGATGGAGGGTAATAGAGTTAGCAATAGTAACTGTGAAAAAACATTGAATAGAGTTTCTCCAATGAAGACCTCATTTCTCAAACATATAGAGAACTGAGTCAAAATTTATAAAAATAAGAGCTATTCCCCAATTGATAAATGATCAAAAGGGATTATCAGTTTTCAGATGAAGTAATCAAAGCTATCTATAGCCATATGAAAAAATATTCTAACTCACTATTGATTAGAGAAATGCAAATTAAAACAATTCTGAGGTATTACCTCATACCTATTAAATTGGCTAATAGGATGAAAGAGGTAGATGACAAATGTTGGAGAGATGTGGGAAAAATGAGACATTAATGTATTATTGATGGAGTTGTGAACTAATTCAACCATTCTGTAGTGCAATTTGGAACTATGCCCAAAGGGTTATAAAAACCATGCATACTCTTTGACCTAACAATACCACTACTAGGTCTGTATCCCAAAAGACATAAAACAACAACAACAACAACAACAACAAAAAACAAACAAAAAAGGAAAAAGACTCATGTGTACAAAAATATTTATAGCAGCTCTTTTCTGGGGATAAAGAATTAGAAATTGAGGGGATGCCCATCCATTGGAGAATGGCTGAACAAATTGTGGTATTTGATTATGATAGAATACTATTGGGCCATAAGAAATGATGAGTAGGATGCTCTCAGAAAAACCTGAAAAGTCTTACATGATCTGATGCAAAGTGAAATGTACTGTGTACAAAGTAACAGCAATATTTGTAAGATGATCAGCTGTGAATGACTTAGCTATGCTCAGTAATATAGCATTCCAAGACAACTTATGATGACAAATGTTGTCCATCCCCAGAGAAAGAACTGATGGTGTCTGAATACAGATTGAAGCATACTTTTTTTTAACTTTTTAAATTTTTCTTTATTTTTTTTTTTTGGTCTGCATTTTCTTTCACAACATGACTATTCTGGAAATGTTTTGCATGACTACACATGTATAACCTATATTGAATTACTTGACTTCTCAATGAAGAGGGTTGCAGAGGTTGGAATGGAGAGAATTTGGAATTCAAAGTTTTAAAAACAAATGTTAATTTTTTTTCCCCATGTAACATGAAAAATAAAATACTAAATAAATAAGCAAAATTTAAAAAATAGAAAATTTCTAGCTAAGGAGGAGAATAAATCATTATTACAAATAAGGTTGCAGGAGCATATACGTTAGAAGTGAAACAGAGCTGGTTAGATTTAATAGCCTCAAAGCCCTTCATTTTACAGATGAAAGAACCTAAGTGCAGAAAGGGTCACAGATTGTAAGTGCAGATTTGGTACGGACTTCTGAGACAGATTCAAAGCTCACATTTCACAGATGAGATAACTGATGCTCAGGTTGGTGAAGTGACTTAACTAAAGGTACACTTAACCAAAGGTATATCGGAGACATGTTTTGAACCTAAATCTTACGACCCAAATCTAGTACTTAATATATTTTTGTTATGTTGCTCAGTTATATCTGACTCTCCATTACCCCATTTAGGGTTTTCTTGGCAAAGATACTGGAGTGGTTTGCCATATCCTTTTCCAGTTTATTTTATAGATAAGGAAACTGGGGCAAACAGGGTTAAGTGACTTGGCTAGGGTAGTGCTAGTCAGTGTCTGAGGCCAGATTTGAACACAGGAAGATACAAGTTTTCCTGACTTCAGGCCCTGCACTCTATCCACTGGGACACCTAGCTGCCCTTTAATATACTATTGTTCAGTTGTTTTCAGTCTGGCTCAATTTTTTGTGACTCTGTTTGGGGTTTCTTGGTAAAGATTCTGCAGTGGCTTGCCATTTCCTTCCCCTGTTCATTTTATAGAGGAGCAGCTGGGGCAAATGGGGTTAAGTGACTTACCCAAGGTCTCACAACTCTAAGTATCTGAGACTGGATTTGAATTTATAAAGATAGTCTTCCTGATTCCACGTCCAGCGCTTTATCCATTGTAAGGCTTAGCTGTCCCTCTTTATCTTTATCTCTACTCTGTATCGAAATCCATATTAATATACTACACTGCCTCAGAGCTACTTCTTAAGAGGGTCAACAACACCTGGGAGTACACAAAAAGGCATTAAAATGCTTTTTTTTTTTTCCCCAAAGCTTTTTCTCAAAGTTTCCTTCCTCCAAGGACAGTCTAGCAGCAGCTTGGGATAAAGGTCTGCTGAGTAGAACTTTCCTTCCCTAAGTAGCCACGTGGTGGCAGAACTTTGCTTCCATGGTAGGAATGTAGCTTATAATACTGCATGTGACGCTATTTCTGCCCTGAAACAGCACTAAGTTTACTATGCTGTTTTTGCTTCCCCTCCCCCCGGCTCCCTGTTCTTGGTTTTCTTATTCCTGCAGTGGTTTCCTGGTGTGGACATGAAGTGATTCAGTACCTTTTCTGACTGCAGTGTGAGCCTCAGCCTCATGTGAATTTGTAAATATAAAAACTGAGGTCAGACCCTGGAGGCTCAACCACTTCTGCAGCCTGTGTGACCTGAGGAAAGTCATTTACTGTCTCTGGGCTTATTGCCTAAGATGTAAAACAAAGGGAATAAAACTAAATGATCCTTAAGGTTTTCCAGCTCTCCAAATCTATCTTTTGAATAGTAAGTAAACTGTGTAAGGGGCATACTCCTTCTAAGTGAGTTCACTGGAATCCATCTTTTCATACCTCCTTCAAGAAAAAAAAAAAAGAGGTGGGAGGGACGGAAGCTAGCAGATCTCTAGAGCTGCAGAGTTCTGAGCTGCATTCGCTTATGTTGATCAGGGCCCCTGCTTTAAGTTGGGAATTTATATGGTGGGCAGACAGGCTCTGGGTTGCACAAATGGCTGGTTAAGCGAGGGGTCGGGTCTGTGAACTGCCTCCATATTTCCAGACTGAGCAAGATAAGGAGACCTAGTCTTAATTTTTTAAAAACAGATCAATACACAGAGAAAAAGAAAAGAGAAAGGGGAAACCTAGCTAATACCTCTTTGAGGGCTCTGGTTCCTCATCTGTAAAGGAGGAGGGTTGAATTTCCTGGCCTCTGAGGTCCCTTCCTCCTCTAGATGTGTGATCCTTTACTTTTGAAGTAATTTTGGTCAAAGATCAGAGAAGAGAAATACGTAACGTTAGCAATCTAACACTAAGGTAAAGCAATACAACTGAACACCATTGCCCTTTGGAATCTTCTTCAGCACTCTATTGTTTCCAGGACCTGCTACTGAGTAAGTTTACAGTGGTGAATTTCAGTGCCTTTAACTCTTAAGTCCAGTATAATCATGTCACCCTAACTGGCTTCATCTGCCCAAGTGATTCTCGAGGTCTTTTTTGACTGTCGGTTTTCTCATTATTTTTTCATCTTATGCAGAATGCCCGTAATCACCCTCCCTCAGTGGTATGTATGGATCACAGCCGCAAACTGTATTTCTCCTCCCGTAGCCCCCTAGTCTCCATTTTCACAGCTAGCTGGCTCTTCCTCTCCATTTCCCTCCAGCATCTTATTCCACTCTTGAAGCAACTTGGCCTCCTCTCGAAGGGCACTCTCCTCCTCCTGCAGGGCATTGCTCTCCTCCCTGAGAGCCTTATTCTCCTCCCGAAGAGCATACTCTGCCTTCCACAAAGCTTGCTCTTCCATACGCAGGGCCTTGCCCTCATTCCACAGGGCCTGCTCCTCCATATTCAGGGCGCTTTCCTGGTGCTGGAGGGCCTTGATCTCCTCATGGAGGGATATGATCTCTTCTTGAAGAGCTTTTTCCTCATTTTGGAAAGCTTTCTCCTGCTCCTGGAGAGCCCTGATCTGTGCTTGAAGGGCTCTATTCTGTCCCCCCAAAGCTTTTTTTTCCTTATTCAAGGCATTACTTTTTTCTCTGAGGGCTTTCTTGTTCCCCCAAATAATCTTCTTCTCCTCCCAGAAGATCTGATTTTGTTGTCTAAGGAATTGGTTGGCTTCCCGAAGTATCTGGTTTTCTATTCGGAAGGTTTTATTTTCTCCTTGAAGATCCCTGTTTTCTATCCAAAGGAGCTTATTCTCTTTGCGGAGTGCTTTATTCTCAACCCGAAATATTTCGTTATCTCTCCAAAGATTTTTTTTCATCTCATGCTGCTGCTGCTGCTGTTGTTTATGGTGGTGCTGATGTTGCTCGTGAAAGAAAGAGGGAAAAGAGAAAAAAATGCGGCCCAGCTGCCCCTTACTGATCCATTTGGAACCCAAGACAACCATTTCTTCACTTTTATACCAGGATTAAAATAAAAGCCAGTTAACTTTGCTCACATGCTGAACTCCACCAAGGGAGAAATGAAGTTTTGTTGTTTTTAAGGAGAAAGTGGAAATGTCATAATCTTACAGAAAACAGAAGTCTTTGATATGAATCAGTTTGTAAATTGTTTGGTTCCAAACTGGTATCTAACATTGGTGGCTTTGGCAAAGACTAGTACGGCAGCAATCTAGAGCAACGTTCACTCAGCCCACTGTCAAGAAATAATGAAAAGAGAAACCAAATGTATATTAGTAATTATGTAAACGTTATATATGCATAATTCTAAGAATGTGGAATGAATATATACAAATTTTATTCTAGTTGCTTTTTGCTAGTACATTGTTAGTTATTTTTTCAAATATCTTCCTGCTAAACAATTAATTTCCTCTAACCCTAGGGCCTACTTCTTGTTGTAGCATTAAAACATACTTTATTAGATTTTTCCTGGTTTCATAAAGACTAAACAACTCATTTAGGAGGAGGATAATATATCATCCTGCCAATTCTAATTAATATATTATTAGCTATACCAAACATAAGCTAGCAGTCACTACTTACATTTGTGTTGTCTTTGAATTCCCCTGAAAGTCTTAGGCTTTTGAGTGTAGGCAACAGTCAGAAGTTCAGGTCATCTATAGTGATGTCATTTACAAGTGTAGACAATGCTGCTACAGTGAATGCTATCTGTAATGACTGCCTGTGTTTTGTCCCGGTCCATGGCCACAGGAAAGAGAGTGAACATACACAAGATGAACTAATTTTTTTAAAAAAAATATTGATAATGATTACTTCTCTCTAAATTTATCTTGTATCTACTTTGTATGTATCTTGTATGTATATATGTTATATATATATATATAATTGGACTTGTGTTTATATGTACATTGTCTCCTTCCAAAAGATTCAAGGCCCATGAAGGCAGTGAATATTTTTTGCTTTTTCTTTGTTTTGTTGGTACTCAGTCAAGTTCCTGTCACATTAGTAGATGCTTTGTAAATGTTTGGTTATTGACTGATGTGGAAATTAAGGAAAATTTATATGATTAGGTATGTTTCTTTGTATGTGAAAAGCTTATAATAAATTATTTAGTCTCTGAGACCATCTACTATTGCAAGGGTTCTTAACTTGGGGTATGTGAACTTTTAAAAAATATTATCATTGTATTTCAAAATAATTTCCTTTGTACTTTATAAATTTAAAAACATTATTTTTAGACTGGGATCATATGCTTCACTAGATGGCTAAAGGGGTCCATGACACATAAAAAGTGAAGAACTCTTGCCCTATTATTTGAAATCTTTTTTATTCAAACTTTAAATTTCAAAGGAGAAATGGAAGAAAGAAGGAAGATAAGTACGAAGGAAAGAGGAAAAAAGGGAAGGAAGGGAGGGAGGGAAGAAGGAAGAAAAAAGGAAGGAGGGAGGGAGGGAGATGAAAGGAGGGAAAGAGAAAGGCTGTGAATGATTTTAATAAAATTATATGTAGGTACAGTACACCCTAAATTAAACATTACAATGGCACATGTGCCTAGTTTGTGATTCTGTTTTCCTTTCTTTTGCTCCTATGTCTATGTCTAGACAGAATCACAGAATCTCAAAGGACCTCAGAGACCAAGCAGTCCAACACACACCTGAACGAGAATAACAATCCAGAGGACTTTTTTTTTTTAAAGACTTGCATTGGGAGAATCCACTCCAGAGACAGGCATCCCACTTTGGGGAGCTTTGTTAGGAACTTTTTCCTTACACCAATCAGAAATCTTCCTCTCTGCAACTTTCACCAGTTACCCCTACTTCTGTCTTTTGGTGTCAAGCAGTGTATGTATCTCTCTATCTCTTTATCTGTCTATCTGTCTGTCTATCTATCTGTCCACATATGTATACATATTTTTATGTACTTGTATTTATATATATATAATATATTCATCTCTCTTCCACACACACATATATGTGTGCATATATTATATAGGTGTGTATATATATATTAGTACATGTGTGTGTATAGATATGTGTGTATGTGTGTGTGTGTGTAATCTCTTTTCCATATGCTTGTCCTTCAATCAAATACCTGAAGGCATCAATCAATATGTCTTATAAATAAGAAAAAAAAGATTACTTAAAGGATTACTTTATACTTCTTATTTCATTATTTATTGACAGTTTTATGCATCACCTTTGTTTTTGAACTCTTTGTTCAATAGACTAACAGGATGCTAGTGCCAGGGATTTGATTCTCATAAAAACCAATTTACCCTCACAAATTGGGGGTGGGGGGCTTCATTCCATGGGCACCGACTATACTTCTAAATCTAGTCAGTTATTCTTCACTATAATACAGGGTAGGAAAGTGGGACTATCTTAATATAAACCTATTGCCTCTGCAGAAGAAAAACCTAAAAAAGGTATTTACTAAAAGGAGCATGGGTTGCTGGTATCATCATTTTATATGTAGGGCTTTATGTGTCTTGTACGTTATACTGTAAAAACAAATAATAAAAAAATGAAAAGAGCATAACAGGATGTTGATTCAGAATAAATCAATAAAGGGTACAGTGTAAATGACACCAGTAAATTCTGTAACCTTGCAATACCATGTGTGGAATTCTTAGGATATTTTGCAGATGGTTCTCTTATTGGTAAAATTCTGGAACAGGAAATATCAAGGCACAATTATATCACCATCTTTCTGTACTGAGTTATGAATTCACTCAGGAGGCAATGGTACTGGACCTGAATTTCAGAAAATCTGAGTTCAAATCTAGCATCAGACTCTTATCACCCCAGGCAAGTCACCTAACCACTTTCTGCTTTAGTTTCATCACCTATAAAATGGGGATAATAATAGTATCTATTTCCCAGGGTTGTTGTGAGAATAGAATGATGTAATATTTGTAAAGTACTTTGCAAACATTAAAGTGTTATATAAATGTAAATGGTTGTTGCTGTTGTTGTTGCTGGTGTTACAGAACAAAGCATAATGGATCTTGACTGAGAACAACTGGTTCAAATCTGGCCTTTGATACATATGAAACCTAGATAAATCATCTAATCCCTTCCAACCTCAGTTTCCTTGTGTATAAAAATAGGAAGTTGGACTAGAAGTGTCTCTGGAGTCCTGTCTAGTTGTAGATATATGATCCTAGAATCAAATGTGTTTCCTTTGATGATCATACAATGGTTTTACCTCATCATGATTAATCTCTCTGATTGACTAAAGACATTTTTATGTATGTATTGTAATCAAACTAATGAAAAATTGGGTAACCTCAAAATAAGATCCCATAGCCAGATGTAGAATTACTGATCTGAACATGTTGCCAGACTTTTAGCTATTCCTAGCTCATTCCTATTTTAGCAAGTTTAAAAAATAAGGATCTTAGAGCTTTGATCTGTTATCGATCTGTATAGTAAATTTACCATAACAACTACAGTAGGAAGAATAAGAAGAATGACATTAATAAGAGATAGAAAAATTAGGATAGTGCCTCTATTAATGTGAAAAGAGAGAATTTTAATGCCTTAACTTACTAAGACTGAAATACCTGCAGAATTGTCCACATCTGGAGTTAAAATAAGCCTGGATTTCATCTCAAAAAGTGCCATGTTTACTTGATCCTAATGTACTACTTGTGTGGTAGTTGGTGCTGCCATGGTAGCTAGGAATTCATACTCAATGTTAAAAAATAAAGAACTCTCTGAGTGTTCCATTTTAGAACAATACTTCCTTGGTTTTAAAGATGACTAGGGCAAAATGTCTTATATTTTTCAAAAAATGTGGCTTTGTCATTTTTAATAAGAAATTCCTAGACCATCCATGAATTTGAGTTTATACCTGAATAACATTTTAGCTTCATATACTTAATACTTTAATAGATTAGAAAACTTTTGGAGTTCCTTACATCTTCTCCATTACTTTTACAAACTTCCTGGAACTCTGAAAACAAAGTCTCTGATTTATTTCAACAGGGTCTATTTCATACCACTCTGAATAATGTGCATGTTTTAAGATGGACATCTACTTGCCTTTGTGTTTTATGAAATAAAATGAGATTGTAGAGTGGAAAAAGCTAGTACTCTTTTGGCTCTTGCTAAAAGATACTAGAAGGTGGGGACAAGACGAGAAATAATAAATAAACTATGCTTATAAGCAATAGCTCTGTTTTCCCTCTGAGTTTATCTCTAATTTACCTTCTATCTATCTGTCTATCTATCTATCTGTTGCTTGTTTAATTGTTTGTATGTTGCCTTTTCCCCATTTGATCGTGAGCTTGAGAACAGGGCTTGTTTTTTGCCTTTTTTGTGCCACTCAGTACTTAGCTTAGGACTTGAAACATGGTAGGCACTTAATAAAGCTTATCATTTATTAACACCTACTTTGTTTCAGGCACTGTGCTAAAACCATTGACTTGACTGTAGGAGCAGGAATTTTTTCTTTGTTTTTGTTTTATTTTGTTTTGTTTTTCTGTCTTTATATTCCTGGCACCTAGCCCATTTCCTGATACAGAGTAGGTCCTTAATAAGTGCCTGTCAATTGATTGAATGTGAAGATTCATACAGTTGATGTTTCATGTTGACTTCCCTGAGATAATACATGATGGAATTTAATGGACAATAGTGAAGAGATATATAGAAAAATATCAAAAGCCCTAAGTTGTATCCAACAGGGGCTGCATCTAGCTATATTATATTTTATTAATACACAAAATCACGGAACTCAGAGGCCATCTATACGGTCCCTACATAAATAAGAATAACCTTAGCATGTACCCAAGTAGTCCTATTTAGACTTTACTTAAAGACATGCAGGAAAGGATAACATTACCACTTGAAGAGGCTCATCTAATTTTGGCCAGTTTTAAATGGTAGCAAATTTTTTGATTTTGTTTTTTCCTCCCCTTATCTTAAGCTTAAATACTTTTTTCCCCTTCCTCCCACCTATTGATCCTAGTTCTGACTTCTGAAGT